ACTAATATGTGGAAACTAATGAATTTTTTTTTAGTCCGATTGATAACAAATCATTTAGCTTGTGTGGACAAAGTGAATGCAGCGACCGGAGTGTCCGATTGTGCTTCCATGATCGGCTACTGTAATAATTCTGTTTACTATACCCTGATGACTGAGCAGTGTCCTAAAACCTGTGGGCGTTGTTCATCTACAAGTTCAAGTTCCAACTTATCTTCGACAACCAGTGAGTAAATCATTTCCTTCTATTTTCTACTTTGTGCCCTCAGACAGCTAGGATTCTCTGCAGGGATAGGTTATCATATCAAGGAAGGATTCGTGCTCCTAATTTTGACCGAAAAGCTCGGTCAGGCCAATATTCCCAAAAGTAAACTAAGTTGGGGTAGATGTATGGCCACCAGTGTCACGATTTTGGTTGGTGATAGTGGGATTTATAGACGTCGTGTGAATGCTCCCTGTCCAATTTATCGCAGCTTTGGTTCATACTTCACAGCAGGGCGACTTGCCACAATGTTATTGGATGTGGGGCTGCTACTCAGTTAGCGAGCGTTCCCACAGGTACAATCTCCAATTTATGACGGGAAATTACAAGTAGCCGTTGACCTTTTTGGAGTATTCATTTCCTCACTTAAAAAAATCCGGTGGGATCCCGAATCTAGCGTAGCCCCTTCTTTACTAGAACTCCTATCAATCGTCGATTTCTGAGTGGCTGCTTTCATAGTCCACGAGTTGCGCGACTGGTCGCTCGGTCGCTCGCTCGATAGGTCCGCGACCGGTCGCGGACTATGAAAGCAGCCAGTCATGCTAGGGTATCCCAACCAGGCGCAACTAAACGACGTCTTTCTCGATTATCTATCCTACTACCTTGAAATCAATTGCTGTCTTTTCAGCCTGTGTGGACAAAGTGAACACAGCAACTGGTGTGTCCGACTGTTCCAGATTGGCCTCCTATTGTCGAGTGGCCAGCTATGTGACTCTGATGCAAGAGCAGTGCCCAAGGACCTGTGGCTATTGTACATCGGGATAGAAAAGCCATACAATATGAAGAAAAATTCTAATAAACACTTCCAACATCGATTACTTCTCCTGGTATTGGTTGGAAAACCTGAGTACCGACTGCTGTAGAAAATAGTAAAGAACAAGTACTCATTCAGAATGGGTAGAAGTATATTCTCAACTTGCGAGCTGTGATGTCACTGTTAAACTCAGAGTTTTCAGACCTTTTGTCAAAAACACAGTCCTTTTCAGAGCTGATACATAGATGGTTCACACTGTTTGCCTATCCCAGGTAAGGTAGGGGCTTGGAATAAGAGCTTTAAATTAATTTTACTTACCTGAATAAGTTGATGATCAAATAACACTCCAATTTTCATCCATTTATTTGTTTATGACGCTAAGTTGTTTGTACATCTATTTATTTATTCACCGAATTCCTTTATCCCACGCCTCTCACATCAGTAACTCCAGTAATGTACGTGACGAGCGACAGCGACAGAAATCTCGTCTGAAGACCTTTTTTGTCGCCAAACCTCGTGCAACATCAGAAATAACTAGTCCAAAAACTTGAACTTCATGTTTCTCTAGACTTTCTCGTTCGTCGAGAAGTTATTCTGCATCAACATTTTCCCTTTACCCCCAAACAAAGTTTGTGAAGTTACCGCGATTTTTTCGCATTTCAGTCACCATTTTCATACATGAATGCATCGATGCCAAGCTTTATTCTATCTACAGCGAAATAAAAATAATTATTGAAAACAAATATACAGAAACGAAAGGTGCTATCTAGCAATAACCACAGGTTTTTGGACACTGCTGGCTCATAAGCTGTTTGTAGATCGGGTTGCGGCATAGTTGAGAGCGTTTGCCACAGTCTGATTTTCCAGTAGCGGCATTCACCAAGTCACGACATTCTAAAACACAATGTATTGAAAAATCTGTTTTCTTTCAATAATGAGGGAATTCGAAAAGCCGCAAATCATGAGAAATTTGAGCAGACTGTCTCTGAAACCTTGCTTTTTGAATATTTTTGGTGACACCTCAGGTTGGCCCCTCCTATTATGAACATAATCGGGCTACTTACCTCCTGAATACAGAGGGGTGGCTGTCGATCCGTCCACTGAACAGAAGCCACATGTCTTTGGGCACTGTGTCCTCATTACTTGGCTATACTTGGAGTCACCGCACAAGCGTGACACGTACGGACAGTCCGATTTGCCTGTGCGGCTATTCACACGATCGACACAAGCTGAAAAATGCTACTCTCTGAAGAGCCTAAGGGAAAAGGTACCAACAAAGATTTTCCGTCCGGGGCATTTTTATTTGTGGCAATATTAGAAGTAAACAAAACGGTATTCATTAGTTAGAACAGTAACTTATAGGTTTTGGATACCTGGATTAAAGCCGTAATCCGTTGCCATTGCCTATCCAGACGCTTTTAAGGCAGAAAAACAGGAACTCAAAAGTCTTTCTGCTCCCTCAAGCTCCTCCACCCATAAGCCCGAAAACCTCAAAAGATCACGAGAAATGCTGCAAAACCCACTGCTTGTAGTAGTTGCTGTTGAAGTTCGGGTTGTTGTTGTTTGAATGGTGCGGATCTGAATTGGAATAATCAAAAAATATTTGAGAAAAATTTCAAATCACTGAGATTGGGAATCGTACGAAGTCTTTTTTGAGTAAAAAAAGCAATTTCGAATGAATTTCTCACCTGCGACGAGGCACAGCACAGCTGACCGCTGCTCGTAGTTATGCACTGAAAGGTAGTATTCGGGCACATGCCATTGAGGCAAGCTGTAAAGATTCGACCTGACTCTTTATATTACTGAATATCATAATATAAAGTATGTAGACTGTTAGAAATGGGCGAGACGGTTTGATGCCAAATGGCGCGCTCTCGCGTCCTTGGTTCAGGTATCGAATTTCGAATACCGGGACCAGGCGGATCTTGATACCCGCCTAGGCAAACTACTGACACTGAGACTTATTAGCTGTACTTCCTCGAGTAGGTGTAGCCAGAGCAACCGACAACTCCCATGTTTATTCCAGAGTCGCAGCGCATGAGACGTTAACAGTTTCGCTCGTGATATCTTATAAACTTACGTCCAGCTCCGCCGCCTATGCACTCCTGAAGTTGGGCCTGCACGCCAATAGAGGAATTTGGTATTAGTATTGCTGTTGTGAGTAGAACTAGAAGATTAGCCATGGTGTAGATGAAGTCCACTGCTGAAGATTCTCTGTGCAAGTTGGACTTTTATACCTAGCAAACTTTATGAGCACAGTCAGCTGTGCTAACTAGTGAGTGACAGGTACCACTGAATGGTCCAGAACAATGGAGTTAGTCAACCTGATAGCCAACCTAAAAACTCTTTTCGAGCCTAGTACACAATTCACACATTTTGGTCACACACTACAACTTGTTCCTCGGAGCCGAGGTTCACTTGAGTCGTTATGAGCTGTCAATACAAAAAATTTATTGTTACTGCGCAGTGGACAGGCAGAGGAGTCGTAAACACTTTGAAAATCAAGGAATCCCTGCAAGGAGGTGGGTAGAAGTAGTTGTTTGAGGTATGGACAGAATTGTGATTCAACAATCGCGGTGAAACTGTTATAGTAGGGGAATCCCCACAAAGAAAACTGAACAGGGATATCTGAAAATCGAAAATAGCCGACTCAATCATCGTAGGTGTGAAGCCTCATTTTGATTATCTCGAAAGACGCTATGAAAAATACAAAATTTAGCTGTCATTAAGCTAACGAAATCATCTTCATGACCTAAATTCCCACGACCATACATTGTTTCCACTGGTTCTTCAGACGGTCACCTTCAAGCTATGCAACCGACTAATGGAATCAGGTTGGAGCAAATTGGAATCAGAAAGATTTTTTAAAGAATTCTCTACTCGCATTTGTTCTTCTTTGAGGGGTTTGGGTGTTAAAAAATTTTCCATTGTACTTTCCTTAAGGTGAACACTGAATCCTACTAACGGAGATGGAAAGATCTCCAACCTGTCCCGTTAGATCTCCAACCTCCAATATCCTGTTTAGCTTGCTTACGGAATGAGTAACTACAAGAGAAAAAAGATTTCGTCTACTACATGGGTGTGTCGAAATTTTTCTGTTGATATTGAGTTTCATCCATAACCAGAGTATGTCCATCGTATAGAATGCTTGGAATGAGTTTTCAGGTTTTCTAGGTTTGGCTCTTCCTCAGTTTTTAGGTAGGCTACCAGCCTGACTAACTCTATTGTTTCGGACCATTCGATGACAGCAGTTACTGTCACTAATTAGCACAGCTGACTGTACTTGTAAATTTTGTTGAGTATAAATAGACAAGTTTGATGGGGAAAACTTCAGCAGTGGACTCAATCTACACAATGATTAATCTTCTAGTTCTACTCACAACTGCAGTACTACTACTGAATTCCCTCATCGGGGTGGAGGCACAACTTCAGGAATGCATAGACGGTGGATTTGGACGTAAGTTTACTAGATATTTTCCAGTTACGACCATTTCCCTCTATCTGCTCATTCTTTTCTCCCAAAGATTAATACATCATGGTACAATTCCAAGTCTAGAGAGTGTTCTGTATGTCGAATTGTTGCAGCTTGCCTCAATGGAATGTGCCCGAACTCCACCTTTCAGTGCATAACTACGAGCAGTGGCCAGCTCTGCTGTGCTGTATCGCAGGTTGTAAATTCATTTTCTGAATTGAAAAAGTAAAACAACGTAGAGGTTCCACACTCACAGTGGAAAGTTTTAGGAATTTTATTAAGAATTCAATTCAGATCCGAACAGCTCAGTCGACAAGAGCGCAAACCTCAACAACAACCACTAAAAGCAGTAAGTTGTCAACAGTTTTCGGTAGCCCTTCCAGGTATTGGGTTCTGGAATATAATTAGTAGGTATAAATCAAGGAGAAAGTTAAAGTAGGTAAGAAATGCTCTTTATTTCTTTTTTATCTGCTGAGTGCGTCTGGATAGGCATAGGCGACGGATTTGGGCTCTAATAGAGGAATCGAAAAATTCCCTGAGGTTACTGATCCATTTAATAAATTAGCTTTGCCTACTGCTTCTGAAAATGCCACAAACAGAATGTTCCCGGAAAGGAAGTCTCTCCTTGTACCTTCTCACTTTAGCTCTTGGGAGGGTAGCGTTTTTCAGGTTGCGTCGATCGTGTGAATAGCCACACAGGCAAATCAGACTGTCCGTACGTCTCACGTTTATGCGGTGATTCCAAGTATAGCCAACTAATGAGGACACAGTGCCCAAAGACATGTGGCTTCTGTTCAGTCGACGGATCGACAGTCACCCCTCTGTATTCAGGAGGTAAACAGCACAATCGTGTTTCACAAAGAAGGGGCCAACATGAATATGTCACCGAAATTATAATTTCTCATGACTTTCTGCCTGGATTATTGGAAGATAACAAGTTTTTCAATATAAGGTGATTCAGAATGTCGTGACTTGGTGAATGCCGCTACTGGAAAGTCAGACTGTGGTAAACGCTCTCAACTGTGCCGCAATCCGATCTATAAGCAACTTATGAGCCAGCAGTGCCCAAAAACCTGTGGTTATTGCTAGGCAGCACCTTTCTTTTCTGTATATTTGTTTTCAATAATTATTTTTGTTTCACTGTAGATAGAATAAAGCTTGGCTACAATGAATTGTTGTAGGAAAATGGTGCCGTAGTTAGCCATGAAAGACCTAAATTCCCAGTGAAAGGGAGTGGTCGATGAAAAACTCAGGGCTTGCTTCTGAAATTTCGCTGGAAAGTGTTATAAGAGTGCGCAGTTCAGTCCGTTGATACTAAAGTGTTGAATCAGAAATCTTGATTTTCTTGATATGGTCAGCTATTTTTCAAAAACTAAACCTAAGCTCTCATTCTGCCACCCCCTTCTGCTAGCACCTGGATGGCGAGTTGTCTAGAGCTGGCTTGACATCCCGGCTGTCTCATAAAATCAAGGATCCAGTGCATCCACTTGGAGAATCTGTTAGTTGAGTGTATTAAACTCGAACTGAAGTCTGGAAGGCATTCTGAAAGGCACCATACGGTTGATAAGATGGTCTGATTACAATGATAATTTGATTTAAAATGATTTAAACAATTGAATGGGCCAAGGAAAAGGGCAACGGGCATGCGAGAAATCTATTTGGTTACCTAGCCTTGAGTTTACCAAGGTTTTCAGTTCTCAGATGCTAGAGGAAATAGTTTAGGGTATCTTGAATTTACATGAATGGACCAATTCTATACGATCCAACACGATTGCAAACGAATTTGGAGCTTCCGTCCACTAATCGTACTTTCTGTTGGAAAGGTACTTGATAGGGCTGTTGGACGAGATAATAGCCATTGTTAGCGACTCTTCAACAAAAGTAGTCTTCACTGGCCACTGGCTCAGGAAAGTCGGCAAATATGAATTCATCCACACAATGAAACTGCAATCGGGTAGATTCCCAAACTTTGCAGCCTCTCAAATGGCGGTCATTTTCGGGGTCCTAGCATATCACTAACTTCTTTTACTACTACTTGGAATCGATTTGGCAGAAGGTAATGATTGTTGTTTGCTCTCCAGTTTACGGCACGTTCAGCTGAACAAGCTCTGACATGCCGAAGGACTATCACATTTGAACAGCTTCACAACCCAGCATACTCAAAATGACAAAAAAGCCTGATAGCTGAAGTTGTTCGATACATAAGCAGTCGAAGTAGATCCATTCTGAAATTCAAATGAATCCTTTGTACCAGTAAGGTGATTGAAACTCAACCAATGTCATCCAATACTACTCCAAGTTGGAAAAGTAATTCAAAAAAAGTGCCCGTGTCAGTGCAATGGGTCCTCTTTAGGTCAGTTAGCTCCACCGATCCCCTAAAAGTAACCAAGAGACTGTCAGAATGGGTAACCAAGATGTGGCTATTCGATCGTATTCTAGCAATAGTCGAGACCTTGGAAGGTCGTAAAGAGTAATGTTGAGTCAAAGAACGATCTAGAGTGGGAACCACAACGGCTCAAAAACCAGTCCCGACGCCCTATGCTGCTCTATGCTTCTAGGAAAGGACATGATACGCGCCGTGTGCAGAGGTCGATGGAATTTAAAATAGAGCACATTTGTTGTAAAAGCAGCGAGCTGATATGTGCTGATAACGGACGCATGTTGAGCTGCAGTAGCGACTGAAATTTCGTCCATCAGGATCCTGCCTTCCACCAGGAATTTACTTCGAAGTTGATCATATATCTCGGAATTTCTCCATTTTCTTCATTTCATTCCTGAACCATTCCTGATCTACTCTTAAAACTGGGTAGGTGGAGTTATAGCAACCCGTACCGTTCAGATCAGACAGGAAACAGTGGAGCAAGGTGGAGGCAACGGAAGGCACTAGCCTGGATCTGAATGTACGCTGAGTTCACCAGGAATTGTTCACCAGGAATTCCCGAAGAGATAAGATTCTCTGTAGATATCCACCTCAAACTATTCACAAATCGTACTAGGCACTGGGAAAGGTATATGAAGTGGCTATTAGTCGAATGAATGGCTATTGTTTAGAATTCTTCAATAGAGGAAGTGGTCACCAGCAGTTGACTCAGCCGTTCGCACTTCAAAATCCTTTTGGGTATAAAATAGCATGCCGAAAATTTCTCCTCAGTGGACTAGGTCTACACAATGGCCACGCTTCTATTTCTAATCTTCATTACAGTACTTCCAACATCATTCCTCGTGGTTCAGGCGCAGCTTTCCGAATGCGTCGGTGGAGGTGGTGGACGTAAGTTGATCGAATAGCATGAGAATTTGTAAGATTCAGCAGCATTCTTAGACAATCTCATACCCCTAGGCCGGGCAGAAAAATTCCATATGATACCCCTCTTATTAGACAAGTTCGGTGGTCTGGGCAAGAAGATCCCACACGTTGAACAGACGGGAGCCTAGGCATGCCAGAGTTCTTTCTAGGGGGCCATTTTGTCACTATCGAATGTCAGAGCCTAGAAATTTTAAACTACATGTCATTTTTTCAATGGTCTACGTATATAAGCCAATACCCAGGGTTACAGAATTCAGTTATCGTCTCGCTGTTCAATTGAATTCGACTGAGGACCTACCGAGTCCATCCTGAACTCCATTTTTGTAAGTGGGATAGCGCTCACTTTGAAGTTTCCATTTCCACAAACTTTAGTGCAATCGGGTTTACAAATATCCAAACACGACTGGTCATTAACCCCTAAAATCACCGAATGAAAGTAGCCATGAAAATGAAAACTGAAGAAGCTCATAATCAATTGCCAAAGCTTGTTACAGCTTGCATTAATGGGGTCTGTTTAACCCCCGGATTGGTATGTATCAAAACCACTGGTGGTGATATCTGCTGTGAGCCGTCAAAGGTGCGTAGTCTTATTTTGATACCTTCCCATCGGTTACTTATACTTCTCAGTTCAGATTCGACCCGTTTCTCCCGGCTCTTCGACTCCAGGGATAAGCTCTCCGATTGTCCCTCCGATTGTCACTCCGACTCCGCAGGTTCCCACTGCCTCTACAAGCGGAACGACTGAGCGCGGTGAGCCATAGAGACATCTGCTATTGAAACCTGGTTTTGCTTTTCAGTTCATAGTGTTTAGCTTTTATTCTCGCGATGGGAAGATAGTTAGCGAGCCGACGCCTGGCGGCCGGTTATAGTATGAGGCATGAGGGACCTTGACAGAGACCTCACTGGTTTCTTGATCAGTTTTTTCGAAATATACAAGCCTTTTTTCAGGTTGCTTCGATCGTGTGGATAGCCGAACAGGCAAATCGGCTTGTCCATACATGGTCCGACTATGTGGAGATGGTAGATACCGTACAGTCATGCAGGAACAATGCCCGAAAACATGTGGTTTCTGTTCTGTAGGTGGAACAACAATGACTCCCCTTCCCTACACAGGTATGTTGTGACGAGCGAAATTACTCGATGGGATGGACTCATGGAAGCGATTTTACCTAATCCCTAGTTACGGATAGAAAAGAAGGCAGTAATTGTGGTAACTCGAGAAATTACGACGCATTCCTTCAAGGTACTCAACTATTTTGATGACCCCATCATTCAGGTCCCAAATCCTATATAGAGCAGCATATATCACTCGAATGGATTTTTCAGAAAATTTGCAGAAACACTGTTATGGCCCTTTCAAGCTTCTTATTGGACCAGACTATTCAAGGAGGGCAAGAAGGGTTGGAATTAAGAAAAATGACATCCTACTCGTTCAGCTGTTTGAGTGTCAGCTATCTACTCATAACCTTCACCAATAGGATAGTGAAAAAAGTGCCGCTGGCTGCTTTCATAGTCCACGATATGGCCCGCGCCGCCCCAATCGCTCGGTCGGTCGGTCGGTCGGTCGCTCGCTCGCGGGTCAAATCGTGGACTATGAAAGCAGCCACTCCTCTTCCGTTCTCACGTCCTTGCACTTTTCCTTGTAGTTTTTCAGTCGCAATTTCTGGCCTATTGCTCAGTAGGAGCGATGCTTTTATCGCAAGGCTTCCAGACTGCCCTTTCAAGCTGGACTGCATCTGAGCCTTATCTAAATTCCAAGTGTTTGTGGATTCTGTCAACTCAGACTGCTGTCAGTAACCATGAACAGAGTCCATTCCCAGTTTTTCCTGATCAGGAATCATGAGCTATTGAACTGTCAAGAGCGCTTGTTATACAAACTTGTTTAGAGACGAATTCACAACCTTATGGGTCTTCCCGTTCCGTATGATTTCCAAAGGATCCCAGTTCGCAGTTTGGGTGTTACATGCGTTTTTTGATCAATTTCTGCTGAAAATACTATTTTGATTAGATACCTTACCAGCCCTTACCGTAGTGCTCTCCGGTACCAATCCCTGGCGTACGTCAATAGTCCAAGAGCAGTTTATCCGAAGTAACAGTTTCCTTTGTATAAGCGATTTTTCAGGATGCCAAGATTTGGTGAATGGAGCCACTGGGAAATCAGATTGTGGAAGTCGTTATGAATATTGCAAAAATCCCTTGTATATGGAACTTATGGCCCAGCAATGCCCAAAAACCTGCGGCTATTGTTCGTAGATAGTATGTATATTTATTGTTTTGTTTATATATATGGCTTAAGCTAGTTATAAGTTCGGCGATGTCGAGAATAAAGCTTGATCGCGTTATTTTCCTTTGAGAATAGAAAAGAATATTAGCGATTTAGATCGTTCACAGAAACAGAACTTGGCAATTTACTTGGTCGTTGTTTACTTATTTACTGTATCAGATGTACGTATCTGATAGCTATTTGGAAAAAAAAACTAAGTCAGGAATTTCGAGATATGTACCATTTGTGAACTCTTATTCACAGCAGAGACGGTTTAAAACGACCGTTTCTAGTTCAAGTCTTCAAGTCAAATTGGATAAAGAGTAAGGGACATCTCTGTAACACGCTGAGTGCCTTTCGTTCATACTTTTTGCAATGCGCAGAAATCATCGAGCACCAACGGCGTCGAACCAGCCCGGCTTGCTCCGACCACGCTAGGGAAGATCTCTGTCCACAAAGATGAATGTGCTTTTCGGACATGGTTGCATCCAAAAGACTTCTGGCTGTATTCAAAAGGAAAGCATTTCAGGACAATCGTGTCCAAAAACATGCATTCTAATAAAAATAATGACGGTTGCCCAGAGCTTTCTGGAAGATACCGTCTCCATCGGCCATTGACACAGCCGCCTGTACTTGGGATTCGGGGATTCGATTTGGGATTTGAGGTAGAATTGACAACAAATCAGGCAGGATTCTCCAACACTGCGATTCAGCAATGACTACATTTCGCTCTACAAGTAACTTCACAGTGGAACTACACGGTGAGTTGATCTCATTTTCTAAAGAAACTGTCCCATCCCGACTCAGATCTCGGAGTACCGGATAAGGATCGAATAGAACAGTCCTGCTTTCCTTCTCACTCGGTTAAAAACCATTTAATAGGCATCACTTTGTAGTAGAAGGTAGGTCTTGTAAATCACTAGTGGTCTACATACCTCGGTCTTCCATAAATCTGAGTGAATGTCGCGTGCATGGCGGATTTCTAACAGTGTTCGATAGATGTCTCATTGCTCTCAACTTCCGGTTTTTTCTATTCCGAAGATGATTCTCAGGCCCAAAGACCAACATTTCAGCTGATAATGGTCTTCTTGTCAGGAAATTGTCTTTATAGTATCCCGACGTTTGTTCTGGATTACCCAATAGAGTGACTGCCTCCGAACTACTAAATACATGAGCATTGTACCTTCCTTGAACTCATTAGAATCCTCCAGTCAGAGGCCAGGAAATTCTCGATAAAGTTCGAAAGAGAAAGCTGTGTGAAGCCAAAATAGGCAACGAAACTTACCCGATTCCCAGATTTTCTTTTTCCGAATTACCGAATATAATTCCCGAATTCCTCATGGGAATTCCATTTTGGTTCTAATGAAGTGTCCCTATTACCGATTTTCTCAGTTCAAAGGATGATATTCTACTTTTTTCTCTCATACTCGCCAGTTCGGGAAGAGAACTTCGTTATTGAAATCAACATGGAAACCTCTATACAAAATTACCAAACCTGCATCCAAAATTTACAGAAAAAAACTTTTTCTTGATCTTCACTTTTCCTGTTCACCCGCATGGAAGCTGCTGTTGATCTACGGTCGATGGCGCCGACCCCTCGATTTGCCGTCGTCCCTTTCCGTTGTCTGCGCCCTCCTTCTTATCCATAGTGTCTGATTTTTTNTTTTTTGTCAGTCCCTCGATTTCGATGAGGCGAATCTTTTTTTGAGCCCATCGATGTCAGAGATCAAGGCAACCGACCCACTTGGGGATGACCTGAAGATCAAGAGAGGAGCACTTTTGAAATTTCAGCTATGTTTTATATGTAGGCTCGTAGAACTCATGATCCTGAAGCCAGCTGTGAAGTCCATTAGGCAAATCGCCAATTTTGAAGGCAATAAACTGAGGATAAAGGGAAGAGCTTTTCAATCGGTCTCAGCATTTGACATGGGAGGACTCTAATGAATAATTTCGAGGTGACGATGCAAATCACTCAAGATCGGTTTATATTGTAAAAAACCGTTCAAAATGAAAAAAATTGTGAAGAATTTCGACACTTTTGGTCGGAAATGCATTCACTATCGCTGATGAACAATAGGCAAATTACTCATCTAATCCCCCAGAGAAGCCTCTTAAAAGCCTGACTCGAGACTGAACGCAGTCTCAGCCCAGGAATCAAGTGATTGTAAATCCCTATGCACTAGATAATATCTATTCCTAGAGTACTCAAGAACACCAGACTATCATCCGAACAGCTCCGATAACGAAGGTACCTTTCAAAGCATTTCTATCTCCGTTCCCTTCACTGGTAAGTAACGAGTTTTGGACTTGTTGCTATGCAGTTGTAAACTTCTGTATCCTTCCGTATCATCGTTTCGATTCATCTTTCTCTTGGGGTACTAACATGGTTGTGTTTATTTGTTTACTCGCTATGCTGTATGGTAGGGAGACGTTGTAGCCCTGTAAAAGCCCAACAAGCCTTACAGCCTCACAGCCTTAGCATGGTAATGGGAAATGGATGAGAACTGTATAAATTAAGGCATCGCCGATTTTTCTGTTCATGCAGGTGAGTTGCCTGCAATCTCCTCTTTACTGTTGCCTTTTAATGCTGTCTATACTGTCCCTACTTAATCTTTTATTAAGTTATATGGTTCCGCGGTCTTGGACTCCTTATTAAGAGGAGTAACTTTCTAAAAGCAATCAAAAAAATCTACTGAGCCTCTGACAGGGAGACAAGAGTGGATTGGCTGACAAATGCTTCAGGTTAAAGCACAAGTCGCCCTAACAAAGATTTCTTACTGGTATGGTACAATGGCCATTGAAAAGGCCACGTAAGGCACCAAGGTGTAAAAAATGGCCCATATAACACTCAATAAGGGCTCAGAATTGGTTCTCACGCTCACTGCTTGACACTCTCAATGAAAGACGAGTTTATCGGGCTTTTAGAGGCTGCTAATATTCACTTTGGGGCATGTTTGTTGTAAATAACGACCCAGTGCAAGTAATAATCATAATTTCGACATTTCCACGAAGTTTTGAATCTCCTCGCTATTGAATAACCCATTTACAGAACCCATGACAGATTTTGAATGAAGTGAACGCTTTACATTTCACTGCAGTCTGTGCAGAAAGTGCAGCACTCCGTCTCTGATGTGTTAATCCGAAATCCTGCAACTAAATGGATGGTCATTTTTTCCAGGGGGATAATTCTGCAATGCTGCACAAACATTCAACGTGCCCAGTGAAGTACATATGCCCTTGAGCAGACTCCATGAACTTTTTCGATTATTTTTCACTTTTCGGACTAACAGACTACGCAATCAGTGCAGATGAATAATAATATTATAGAAATAAAAAGAGAAGAGAGGAAAAATTCAAAACAAAGGAAAAATTCAAAACAACGAAGGCTCGTCTGATTCACATCGGACTGTTGCACCGGGCGAAAGCGCACAGCCACTGTTTACAATCTAACTGCACAAAGTGGCTGCATTAGTCTCTAGAATTGTTGAACTAGTACATCATTTCAAAATTCGTGCAGTTTGGCAGGCCTCGCTCCGGAGTGGCGTTGTTCTGTGATGTTCGGTAGGGTTGCTGTAAGTACTGAGGTCAGCATCAGCAATTCTTTCGAAACAATAGAGAAATTCAAGCTGTTACAGTACATGCGAATGTTGAAAAGTCTGGCACGAAGAACTTTTTCTTGTGAAAAGAATCCCTTTCAGATCAGATCCTTCAGTAAAATTACAGAAATACGGGTGAGCACTTTAAAAGGCGCTACCTGGGCCTGAATGGGTATGGGTAGTTATGTGCGTCCGAGGATGCGCGCGGCGA